CACACACACACACACACACACACACACACACACACACACACACACACACACACAATCACATTATGTGTAATATATGTCTAACTGTTTGAAAGACAAATTCCTTGCCTAAAGTACTGCAACACACATTTTTGTTGTTGTTTGCTTGTTTGTTTTGGGGATTTTTGGTGGGGTTTAATTTACTCAAGCATAAGATGGTTTTGTGTGTTTGTTTATTATTATTATTATTATTATTATTATTATTATTATTATTATTATTATTTTATTGTTAATAAAGGTTCAGAAATATAGGATAAATAACTTCTGTTAGGTAAGACAACACTGATTCATTGCCTTTACTATTCAAGAACCATTGCTTACACGTACAGAAGTTCCAATGAAAAAGCCAGAAACCCCTGAATATGGTGGACAGGGTTTTTTTCCCTTCACTTTTTTTTTAAATTAAGAATTATTTAAAAACTTAATAATTAGGTATGGAATTAATAAACCTTTGAATATATATATTATAATGATGTATAAAATATGTAATATAAACATTTATAATTTTTGTATTTTCGTAAATATATAATAATGTACGCATTTTAATTAGACAATTATAATACAACTATAAAATAAAATAATTAAAAAACAAACTAATGAATTCTCCTAATTGTTAGTACATTTTACCTTTAACATGCGCACTATTTCCGTCACCTTGTGCTGTTTAGAAAACTATGCTTTGGTTTGTTTCGTTTGTGTGCATCCTACACTTCTTTAACCTCTTGCAGAGTGCAGGCTTACCTCTGTTTCCGGGCAGCTGCAGATAGCCCATCCTCATTTCTCTTGCCTTTAGTCTGTTCAGTATGCTTTTTAGCATTTTTCTGGCGTGCAAGCTCACGCTGGTTTCCTCCTGTCATGTCAATAAAAAGGGTAAAAACAACCATAACAAATCAGATGAAAAAGCTGCACCTTGTAATGAGACACTTGACTTAAGTTGCTTCCAGCAAAAAAGAAGTAAAAAACAAGCTGAATTTAGAAAAAAAAAAAAGAAATCTGTGTGTCTACAAGTCGAATAGTTAAAAGAAAAACAGTATGCTATGATCTGCACGATGAAATATGAAGATGGTGCATCGCCCAAAAGCAGCCGACGTGGCAGAGAGGCGCTCCGGAGCATTTTCTTAACCAGAGCAACAACACAGAGGGCATCAAAAGAATTCGCTGCTATCATGGTTTTTTCCAAGTTCATGTGCAGGATTGAAAAAAATATTACTAGTAAAAACACGGGAGCTGCGTTTAGACCAGAACACCCATATTTTGTTTCTGTATTGCGTCCACACATACAGGCCAGGGCTCAGAGTAACGCCCGGACAACAAACGACCCAAAGCCAACACACGTACAACGGGACGTTATGTAACACATGTTAGCAAAAGTCTATGCCCTTCATTAAACCAAATGAAACAGCCAAATTAATTGCGTCCTTACGTTATTGCCCAAAACGACAATCCTCTATAGAATCTATCAAATAGGATAATGTATGTTACATGAAATAGACGGAACCCAAGTCGATCAACGACAACCATCGGTGAAAAAAAACAAACACGGAAAACAAGCATTCGACCAAATACATGAATCCCTCAGAGCGTAATAAATGTCGGTACTCACTAGTCATTTTAGTGATCGAGTCTTCTTCCCCCAAAAATCCAGACGAGCTCAGCCAAAGGGCCGCTGACTCCCTTCTCGACGCTCCCGTTGCTGTTTTTCAGTTTGGTCGCGAGCCAAATATGCGCGAGACTTCCGCAAGAGAACCAGAACATTCCGTTGAGCCACACGGGACTGCGCATGCGTCAAGTCTGGTCGTCAACATGCTACGACGGTGAAGTTGCAAAGGGGTGACTTTTTAAAATTATTATTATTTTTTTTTTTTTTTACTTTTTAGCATTTTGCAAGGACTTTACAAATCATGTAGTCCACGTGTTAAAAAAAATACAAAGACCATCAATGAACCATATACAAAATGTTCAAATTATGACGCTTTTTTATTTCTTTCAAATGTATGCTCGTTGTGAATATGACGCTACCAAAATCAAAATGAACTAAAACTCAAAATCGGTGGTTAAATTTGGGGATAATATGGGCTCAAAATGTGGTCATAAATATTTTGTACTTGTAAAAAAGATTTGTATTGTAAAAAAGATTTGTACTGTGTAAAAAAGATTTGTGTGTCGTAAAAAAGACTTTGTATGTGTAAAATTTTGTACTGTGCGTAAAAAAGATTTGTATGTGTAAAAAAATTTGTGTGTGCGTAAAAAAGATTTGTATGTGTAAAAAAGATTTGTGTGTGCGTAAAAAAGATTTGTATGTGTAAAAAAGATTGTGTGTGGACTTAGAAAAAAAACCCCTGCAAGTTACAAGTACGGATTTTGACCCTATTTTTCTTCCTTTCATCTGATTGGTCAATGTCATGTCAATCACAAATGTAACAATCCAATCAGAGAACAGATGGGTTTGGCTGTCAGAGGGGCGCTTTTTTGAACTGCAGGTCCTTGAAGGGTGATACAGTTTGAAGCTGGAGGATCGCTATATAAATATCCGATAGCAGCTAGGTCCCCTAACTTTCAGTAGCTGTTGAAAGGAAAAAGTTGTGGTATATCAGTGGTTAGAAATACCATTATTACTTTAGGATTAGTTTAACACAAAGTCAGAGCTGACCCAGGACCATTGCTGTGAGTCACAGTGCGCAGCATAAAAGTCCTTTCACATCGGACGCAGGATGTGCTGCTAATGCTAACTGCTAACTAAAAGCAAAGGATCCAGAATTTGTTACGCTGGCTGCTGGGCTCTGTGGGTTTTTGCAGCAGCTCTACCTGTATAGATGCACCTGCTCCTTGTCTTTTCTATCTCTGAACTTTATGTCCTCTACAAGAGTTTGTTTTTTTTGCTGGTTCTTCAAATGTTCAATAAAAACATGTATGCTAATTCATAACGAAGAAAGCTTTGTAATGAAGACTGTCATTTCCAAAACACTGCCCGCCCCCACCCCGCAGCGCTGTTGAAAAGGCTGTGGAAGTCCCTGTATTAAACAGTAGACCTGTGACACAAAAATCACCAAACTCGGACGACCACAGACTGTTTTCCTTCGTGGTGATGAAGGAAAATCGCTGGGTTGGCATGTAAAAGGGCATTTATTCCCTTCAAAGACCTGCAGTTCAAAAAAGCGCCCCTTGACAGCCAAACCCATCTGTTCTCTGATTGGATTGTTACATTTGTGATTGACATGACATTGACCAATCAGATGAAAGGAAGAAAAATAGGGTCAAAATCCGTACTTGTAACTTGCAGGGTTTTTTTTCTAAGTCCACACACGAAATCTTTTTTACACATACAAATCTTTTTTACGCACACACAAATCTTTTTTACACATACAAATCTTTTTTACGCACACACAAATCTTTTTTACACATACAAATCTTTTTTACGCACACACAAATTCTTTTTACACACACAAAGCTTTTTTACGCACACACAAATCTTTTTTACAAGTACAAATCTTTTTTACATATACAAATCTTTTTTACAAGTACAAAATATTTATGACCACATTTTGAGCCCATAGTGGGTATGAAAAACTGTTAAAAGAGTATGTACAGTACAAAGTATATGCAGTAAATACAGCACAGCAAAAGTCTTGAGACGCCCCTCAGTGGTTGATATTTTACTAAGAAAATAGGAAATTCAGTATACAAGCCAAAAAAATAATCATATACTGAGGGATAAAGTTAATCAGTTAAACCATTAGGTTATGGGAAAGAGCTATTAAAGCTAAGTTAAAAGGAGATTTAAGAATCTCTGTGCAGTACGGCTTCATTCCAAGAAGGAATGAAACTCCAGATGTGATGTTTGCTTTGAGGTGGTGGAGAAATATAGAGAAGGTACCAGGATGCCAAGAGATGACAGTAATCAGAATTTAGCATAAACAATATGAAAGCATGAGTCTGCCTTGTATCAATGGTTTAGTCAGTCAGCTGCCGCTCTGGTGGTATTACATGATGAATAAAAACCTAAATATTACAAAGATTCTTGCACACCACTCCAGATTTAGCACAGGGTGCTTACAAATATTGAATGACCGTTCCGCCAGATTAAGGGTCTAGAACCAGCCCTTCCACTTTACAGTAATATCACTTAGAGCTGATTGTGGATTATCTGAGAGAGTTGAAAATTCATGACCTAACTTGGTGCAATGGTGTCATTCTATACACTTTGCATCTTTAATTTCTCAAGTATTTGTAAAGGAAGACTGCATGGCTGTGACCAAAAACACCAATATTCAGAGGTAGATGGAAAGATTTGGCTGAATGCTTTTGTCTAAACATGTGTGACTTTAGCTAGATTTCCTTTTTTTCTTTTTGGCCAAAACATTTGTTAGTATTGAATGCTGACCTCTGTCCTAGACAGTTGGTGACTCCTTGAAAAGCTTACTGCAAAGAAGCCAGTAGGTGGCAGACTATACTAAAGTAAATAATGGCACACAAATATTTTCATCATGGATACAAAAGCCACAAGTCATCTCCAACTATAAAGCAGCGCTGATCATAAATGTTTGTTATATTTTTGTTTATTTTTTATAGATTTTTACTGTTCACACAATGAAATGATGATCCTAGTGACTCCTAATGACTCCTGATTGGCCTAATTGGTCTTTTGATCATCAGCAGGAGGCAGAAGACATATTATAAAACTTGCATTTCAACTCTTTGCACCCTGGATTTGCCTACAGTAGTATTTGTTTTAAGAATATGACTGGCACCATAATTTTCAAGTCATCTAATACATACAGGAGGTAGGTTTAACATTTGTTGTGGTTCATTTCTCTAGCATCACATTTGATTTGATTCCAAGTGACCGCATGTTGAATAATTTTGCTACCTCGTACTCACTTTTATTTCCTGTTATGTGACTCTTTTAATTTGGCAAAGTAAAATTGTAAACTTTCCTTTCAAAATGCGAGCCTAACCACTGAATGTGAAACCAGTGAGATGCTCCTTAATGGTATTGTGTAATGAAACATCACAGGTTGCAGTCCAAATTTGGCAATGGATGCTTACAAATATTGATTTAGTAGAATGAGAGATGGTTTTTCTGAGATGGTGAGTGATACTAAGGTAAATTTGGAAAGAAGTCACACAAACAATACATTCGGAGATTTACGTACTTTATACGATGCATTTAAACTATAAAAATATCAAAGCTAATTAATCCATATCTAAAACGCTTCAATCAAATTATAATACAAAAACATATCATAAGATCAGGTAAAACTCTTGAAACAAAAGGCTACAGTAACTTCTCTGAAATCATCTAAAATATGACATTTTTCTGTTAAGGCGAATAGCAAAACGGGGGCTTGTTAAGTGGAAAACCATGTTTCTTAGGAGTGTTTATATTCTGACTTTACTCGCTGTCTGGTTGCTAAATACACTAAATGACTGAGTCATGTCTGCCCAAAGCTGAACTTGTACACAGACACCACCGCTATGAATAGACAAAGACATAATTTGCATTGCCTAATACCCTTATATATTTACTTCTTATTTTATGTTGATATAAAAATATGAAACAAACTGAACAACACACTGAAACCGAGTCCAGTGTCAGATATAGTGTGTGTGTGCATTTTTTAAAAATAGAAATCCCAAATTGTGTTTATAGTGGTGGAAATGAGTTGGAGGAGGAAAATGAAGACAGGGTTGGGTTTCTTTCTCAAAGGCAAATACTGTATTTTAGGGACATAATTACTGTTTGAATACAATGAACTATCAAACTGCTGCTGCAATTGTCTAGCCAACAGTCTATTTGGGTGAAGAATAAGGTCTTCTTAGACTGTAATTATATTCTGTAAGTTTGTTCTGGTCTGCAGCTCTCTCTGCATGTTATTTCCTCACACCGGGCTAAAAACTTACTCTAAGTGATCAAATACCCTTTTTTTCTCATTAAATCCTACAGGTCAAAATTATGTGTTTACCACAAAAATAATGAACAGTCCCTTGGAAATGTCCTTGTGACAGGTAGTCATACATCACTGGCTAGAGTGCAATTTATGCACCTTTAGCAGCAAAGAGAATGCTTGTTTTTGTATTGATTTTTACTGTAGGCTGTTGCTGCAGCATATTTTATTTGAGCTTAACCTGGCAAATAACTCCAAGCTCAAAGTCAGCCAGCAGCTGAGTGTTGGCAGCACAAGGATTCTCAGATGGAGTTACATAAAAAAAATACCTATTTAAAGAAACATATTAAGGAGTAGTTGCTTTAATGAAACATTTTTGGATGTAATTTCTTTTTCCAAATAGCTGAAAGTTATTTCAGTTTGAAGAAGAAAGCCCAGTGTGAATAAATGCTGTAATAAAACTTTATTGTCTCTAAGAAAGAAACTTTAGCCATGTTGACCAACCCAACGCTAAAAGAGAGATTTACCATGCTTGCATTGAAAGCTACTGCAGTTTTGCTAACAGTTAATTTCTGAGCTTCTTTCTGGTGTGTGCAGATTTTAAAATTTGTATGTGTTTGTTTTCTTGAAGCGACTCAGTTACACACTCTTATTTACTTAACTAGCTAAAAGTTACTTTCAATCACTGCCTCATCTTGTGGTCCATACTGGTATTACAGCTCTTCAGCGCAGCACGTTACAAACCAGTAACAGTTGTTTCTTCATGTTATGCTGGTAGCTTTAGTTATTTCCTTTTACGTGTTAATGTTTTGTGATATTAAAGAAAATACATCTGAGGCTGGTGTGAATATCACTTGTAGTGCAAGTATTTGATCT